AAATGTTGAAGTTTAAAATTGAAATGTTGAAGTTTTTAATAATGATTGATTTAATAATGATTGATTTTTGAAATGTAATAAAATATCGAAGGAAAGGAGGATACAATGTATTTAAATATTTTTGGTGGATAGAATGTACCAAGCAGAACCAAATTGGGTATTTGTTATGTTGAATGTTAATTTTATTAACTTAGGGGGAGGATAGATAGGCATCATACTCTGATTAGTGATTTCAGGAGAAATTCTTTTTATTATAAGAAGAGATAGAGGGATAATGAATGGGCAAAAGATACAAATTTAATGATTTAATTAAGATGGATCAAATAAGATAGAATTCTGAAGAGTGATATGCGTTATTATTTTAGCCCATGCAAAGAGAGGTAACTGGGGCCAAGGTACTTTACTAAAAGATTTTTTTTATGTTTGTTTGTGTTTGTTTGTGTTTTATGAGAATATTGGGGAAATTATTGTAGAAAGACAGGGAAAGATTTAATATGTAATGATTTGTTTGTTGTTGAAACTTTTAATAAAACTTGTTTTAAAAAAAAAAAAAGAAACAACATATTTTAACATAGAATGTCCTCATATTCCCAATCTATAATAAATATTTATTTTCCATTTGTCATGCTTTAAATATTTTTCTTTTTTGCTTAGATGAGAAACATTTTTAAAATATTTTACAAAAATCCCACCTTTAGAATTGTACAGGTTAACAATAAAATAATGGACCAGATTTCATATCTCTATACATCAAAATTTGTAGCAATAGTTCACATGTACATGTAAATGAAGCCTAAAACATTCAAGAAATAATTTGGAAGGCCAATATCAAAATTAAAACAAAAAAATGCTTAATTTATAGATTAAATATAGCTAATTTACTCCAATTTTATTTTAAACACACTGCACTGCAGATGAAATAGCAACTTTCAGAGGTTATAAAATCAGAACAATCATTGTTTCTAAACATTTCACATATCTTAGCTCATATATGTATAGCTACATTTAAATTTTAATTCTTATAGCCTTTTTTGGCAGCCATGAATATATCATATCCATATAATTTCAGTTAACCTACAAGCAAGGGATCATGAAAATAATCTCAAATATTGTTAACAGAAATAGTCCATGTGGTACATTTACAAAAATAGAAGACAATGCATATGTCTTATTTGAATACCAATTATATGCCCCAGCAAGGGCCTTTTATTTAGAACTTTCAGTGCTGGTCCATAAACGTAATGAAGATTGATTAGAATTTATGCATAGAACAGCCTACTGGAACTGCAACAACCAATTGTTCTACTTCCTTCTCTTATATTAAAGGTGTTCAGCTGAGAGTTTGTTACATAGGAAAAATTGGAGTCAAATATGAGGTCCTTATCTGCATAACAGGACAACAGAGTTGGAAGGGACCTTGGAAATCTTCTAGAAGAGGTCCCCAAGCCCCGGGCTGCAGACTGGCACCGTTTTGTGGACCGCCAGGAACTGGGTTGTGCAAGCAAGTGAAGCCCCATCCACATATGCATGGGATCCAGGTATCCCTGGGCTGCAGACTGGCTCCTTTCTGTGGCCTGCCAGGAACTGGGCCGTGCAAGCAAGCGAAGTTCCATCCACGCATGCACGGGATCCAAGCAGCACGTGAAACCACAACCCCCCAGTACATAGAAAAAATGCCCTCCACAGGGCTGGTCCTGTCTTCCAAAAGGTTGGCAGCCGCTGTTCCAGAATATACTTCCGAATATATATTATATACATTGCTCTGTAATTTGGTTTGTTTATTTATTTATTTAGAAAACTTAAAACTATTTTATCCTTTTGTTAGTTGATGCAGTGATGTATCTTGACATGGTCAATTAACTAATCAGTAAATTAATTAACAACTATGACTTCCGGTGGGATCATTCATGGAGAATGGGTCTCTGCGCTCCCATGCCGAGTTCTCCCAATTGGTGGGCTCCTCAAGAAGCCAAAGCCACCCTGTAAGGGCAGCAAAGCAAAGAAGGGCGCACTATGAAGTCCCAGAGAGCTGCATCTCTCATGCCTGACCCGGGGCTTTCTTTTCCCTCTCAACCACGACGAGAAGAGGCAGCCTAAAGATGGCTGCCATGAAGCTGGGACAGTCAAGGAACAGTTAAGACCGGTGCTGGAGTGGAGTTAGTGAACAGTGTCTGGAACTGGGTGAGAGGATTCTTTTTTACTCAAAACCTAACCCCAAAAGGAAAAATCCAGGAGTATTATTTGCTCGGAACTACTTGTTAAAGCAACAAGTGAGAAAATTTTGAGAAAAATACTAGATTGGAAAGAAAAGATCAAGGGAAGAAAAACAAAAAAACCTTAAGAATACAGAAAATTGGATTTTTAAATTGGGAAGGCATTTTAAAATGCTGGAACTATTTACTTAAAAAGTTAATCCTGCTTTTATAAATTGAATTAAAATAAAATTGGATTGAAACTGGTTGGTTTTGTTATAACATTGAAATTTAAGCTGAGACCGTCACCTGCTGATGAAAGGAAATACAACATGTATTTACAAGCCTGGCAAGATTTTTGATATGGAATAAACAATATGGAATAAACAATACTTATCTGGAAGACTGTGAAGATATTTACTGAGTTATATGCATCTACTCTATGACTACCAGAGATTTAAATGTGAGAACAAGGAAGATGTCTAATTAAAGTGACCCCTGAATGTCATGATGCATGACTGATTTTATAAAGTGGATTTAAAGAGATTTTGATCAACTTCCTAGACTACTTAAAGGGAACTGAAGGATTAACTATGGGACATAAGGAATTATGATCCGTGTATTTTTTGAAGAGCAATTTTAGGCTTGAATATATTGTTCCTGGACTACTGGATAAGAGCGGGACCTATTAAAACAAGACGAGATGCTCCATTGGGGGAAATGAGTGGAACTTTGGAAGATATGGCGTTGATGTATGAAAGTATAAAGGACATTATAATAAGAAACCACAAGGAGATTAAGAAAATAATGCATGGCATCGAGGGAAATACAAGGGACATTGCGTAAATATCAAGACGCCCAGGAAAGGGAGGAGCCAACAGAAAGAATGGAGGAAAAAATAGAACAGATGAACCAGAAAACAAAAGAAGATAAGGAGACAACAATAAAAATAACAATGACTGATGAAATAAAACAAGGGAGAAATACTTTAAGAAATTTAAAAAGAGACCTGGAGACGCAGGGAGATATTTTTGAAAGGGAGACATGGTAGATTCTTTGAAAGCTAGACAGTGGAAGAGGGTAGAAATGGGACAAATATTTGGATTGAGTAGTCAGGATGTGGATGCAGACAGAAACAAAGATCTAAGAGAGGAATATGGGAGGCAAGTCAAAAAATGAATAAGAATTAAAATACTAATGAGAACAAGAGATGACGGTTAGAAAAGAAATGTCTTTTAATATAAGGATATCATGATTAAAAGCTAGAATAGAAATAGAAACAAGAAAATGGGGAAATATTAATACATACACTTTTATATAATAAAATAAAATTAATAATAAGGCAGGAAAATTAGAGATTGAATGGTGTTATTATGTGCTTAAATAATATTGTGATTGGCATTGGAATAATATATTGAAACACTGAAATAATTAAATAATAGAATAGCAGAACTTAACATAAATATGGGTATTAATATTAGAACTACATTAGCTTGATGAATGTAATGAATATGATTAATATTACTATTGTTTTTGTATTAAAATGAAAGCAAAAAAGAATTAAAGTATTAATGTGAATAAGAGATAAGGGGTAAAAAGGAAATGTTTTTTAAATATAATGGTGGCATGATTAAAAATTAGAATGGAGATAAAAATAAGAGAGGGGGTATTATTAATATATAAATTTTTATATAATAAGATAAAAGTAATAATTAGAGGGAAGATTAAAAATTAAATAATGGAATTATCATGTATGTTTAAACAATATTGTGATTGGCATTAGAATATATTGAAACATTGAATAATTAATGAAAGACTATAACTTAATACAAATATATGTATTAACATTAGAATTACCTAAGTTTGATAAATGTAACAAATATGATTAATGTTATTCTTACTTGCACCAAAATGTATGATACCCAGGTGCCACATCGTTCACGCATTGATGTGTATATGTAAAATAAAATACTTTTTTTAAAAAAGTAAATTAATTAACAACTAGACATGACTGAAAAATGCTAGTCTTGTACTGATCTTAAAAATGAAGCGGTGGCATTTGTATGAAACCTTTCTAACTCAGATGGAAGAATTTTTATTTAATATTTATATGGGAGAAACTTCAGTGGTACTGGTTGTATACCATATAACATACTGTCTCCTGTCTTCTTTGCCTTATTTTGCTAATCCTGACGAGATGGTAGTACTTGTCACCTTTCCTGGCTCTCTTCTCCTTTCCTCACCCTCTCTGCTCTACTTGAGTCATCATTATCCTTCAGTTTTTTCTTTGCTAGACACTAGTCTTAATCTGCCTGCTTAAAAATTGACAGATTAAAAACCAAAGTTATTTACTTATAGCATTAAAAATGTCTAAGTTTAAATAGTGTTTTTTCCTTAATATTTATCTGATTTATCCTAAAATTAGCCTCATAAAGTTTAAAAATATAAAAATTAAAATTGGAGAAAACAAGGGAAGGAACTCCAAGATACTGATGGAAATCTTTTATAAGTAAATCTTATAATCTTCATGAATCCTGCAAAATAATATATTTGGGACTTGGAATCTATGTTGATTGTTTTGCCTTTTCCTTTTGGCATGTATTTGCCTGGCCAAAGAATTTTCACATTGATCTCACATTTACTGTGTCTTAAGGAGGTCAGTATTATATGTGGATGAATGCTCTGCATGAAGAATTCTCCTATAAAGCAAGGAATTGGACTAAATGAATTTAATTTAATTTATTTTAATCTAATTTTGTAAAGTAAATAGTTTTCATACTTTGTTTAGAAAAAAAGGGTAGAATTTACCTCCATTCTCTCTTGCTTTACATCATCTATCTCATCATCTTCAAACAAGGCCAAGAGCTCCCCAGTCTGATCAATAGAAATAAGGAAGTCTTGAGCAGTTTTCTGACGTTTGTTAGTGTTGCTACTGAATTTGTCTGAAAGAGACCAGAGAAGGAAAATAGACAGCTGTTTTGATACAAAAAAAGGGGGTTCCACAAAAGCTTCTAAACAAGTGCTGAAATTGAGCCAGCTGAATGAAGACCATTTTAATTTAACTCTCCTTGCAACTAAGACCCCTGAAAACTTATATCAGAAAGCTGAGGAGTATCACTGAACTTTGGACCTTTTAATATGCTGAAGACACTCTGATAAGGATGAATTTAAGGCTCCTTGGAAAAACAATCACTGCTATATGGTCATTTCAGTCAGAAAGTATATCTTATTTTTGCCTGATTTCTCCATCTTACCTGCACTGCTTTGACTGCACATTCTTTAAAAAAAAAATCAGTGAAGAAGAGGGAGGAATCAACATAAGTGACTCCTATGAACCTCATTTCCAGTAATGGTAAATCAGTGTGGTATTCATAGGATATGATTGCTAGTGGAAAGCCATTGTGAGTGCAACCAAATATATTATGTTTGAAAATGTTCTATCTTTCTCTTGATTACCCATTCAATGCATCCAGTAAACCTATATCCTATAACCTTTTCAATCACCAGATGCTTTTGAGTCATTTGCTTTGCTTTCTTCTTCTCTCTCAATTATCAATATAAGGTCATTGTTTCATATTGTCCTTTTGCAAATCTATTTCCATTCACACTAAACATTTGGATTTTAAAATAGAACCCAGATATCTGGAAATCCCATAGAAATAAATTTTAGGGGAAATGCAACCAAATTACAGTGATTACATATCTAGTAACTAATTACAATGGGGAAAAATAGTATTTACCAAACATTCATCTTAATTTTAGATCAGCATTAAAGGATGGTTCTGACAATATTTTTCTAATAAATTAATTAAATTATAGTTCAAATTAATTTGAAAATGTAAATTGTAAAATTAAAAAGACTGTTAATCAGCACCAGTTCCTTAGGTAAACTTAATTGTTGATATTAACAGTTCTGGTTATCAAATGGTTGATGGAATAACATTCTGAACTTTTATAAATAATTGGAATAGAAAAGCACTGGCTTAAATGAAGTTTCCCATGCAGTACTATTTTTGAATGTCTAAAGCTAGCTAGAAGAGGAATATATTTCCATTTGGCACTGTAGAGACAGAGCATATATTGAATATTCCCCATTGAAAGACAAGGTTTCTGGAAGCGTCATACCTTCAAGAAGATCATCTTCATCAATGCCTTTGACAACTTTAGATTTGTAATCTCGGAAAAACATGTATTTAAGTAATCTTCGAAGTTTTTTCTAGTTAAGAAAAAAAAATGGACATAGATACTGCCTGCTAATGTTAAAAATTCAAGGAAAAATTTGAAGCATTATAAACACAATCTTATATTATATATCCACATTTATATACATAGATTGACAATATTTATTCTAACAGAACAAAATGCAGAATTTAGCAAAAATTCAAATTGATGTTGAAATTCCAAGCATAAGTCTGACAATGCATTTCAAATCAAATATATTTTTGTGCAGATACATTTCAATGCTAGAATAGAATAGAATAGAATAGAATAGAATAATTTATTGGCCAAAGAATTTGTCTTGGTGTAAATATTCTAAATATACATAAAGAAAAGATACATTCGTTAAGAATCAAGAATCATAACGTACAACACTTAATGATAGTCATAGGGTACAAGCAACAATCAAATCATACTAGGAAACAGTCAATATAAATCGTATGGATACAAGCAACAAAGTTACAGTCCTACAATCACAAGTGGGAGGGGATGGGTGATAGGAGTGATGAGAAGATTATAAGTGCAGACTTTGTAAATAGTTGAACAGTGTTGAGGGAATTATTTGTTTAGCAGCATGGTGGCTTTCGGGAAAAACTGTTCTTGTGTCTAGTTGTTCTGGTATGCAGTGCTCTATAGCGTCGTTTTGAGGGAAGGAGTTGAAACAGTTTATGTCTGGGATGTGAGGGGTCTGTAAATATTTTCACAGCCCTCTTTTTGACTCGTGCAGTATACAGGTCCTTGATTGAAGGCAGGTGGGTAGTAATTGTTTTTTCTGCAGTCCTAATTATCCTCTGAAGTCTGTGTCTGTCCTGTTGTGTTGCAGAACCAAACCAGACAGTTATAGAGGTGCAGATGATAGACTCAATAATTCCTCTGTAGAACTGTATCAGCAGCTCCTTGGGCAGTTTGAGCTTTCTGAGTTGGTGCAGAAAGAGCATTCTTTGTTGTGCTTTTTTAATGACGTTTTGGTGTTAGGTGTCCATTTTAGGTCATGTGATATAGTAGAACCTAGAAATTTGAAGGTCTTTACCGTTTGTTGATACTGTGTTGTCTAGTATTGTAAGAGGTGGTAGTATGGGAGGGTTTTTCTTGTGTTCATTAATCTTACTTTGCCAGTTCAATAAGCAGACCAGACTGAAAAATAAAGAAGTTTGAATCTAAATTCCTTTTTGTTTTACAGTATGTGAATAAAAGTCTATGAAAATAGCAGGCTATAGTCAAGCACCTTTATTTTCATTTCTTAAATTTAGTGCTGCTTGAAACAAGACAACCACTCACAGGGTGCTTTCAGGTAGCTAGCTGTTTAGTTGTCATTACAGTTTATTAATCACTTCAATATGTTCCCCTCTTACCTTTTCATTTTTGCACATTGGTTAAACTATTCTTTTTCCTTATAGATTTGAATTCTCTCCTTATAGAAGATTATTTCAAATCAGCGTGGTTCAGGAACATCTCACAAAAACTCTTAGTATCTTGGTTTCTCCAGGGAAGTGCTTCTAATGACAGGATATGAGTGTGCATTTAGTGCACTTAAACAATGCGTTAAAGATCTGGAAATCCAACAAGATTGAACTGCTCTTCCGAAGAATGTTCATTTGAGCAATCACACTCCCCCCTTTAAAGCAGCAAGATATTTCTATCAAATAACTGTCCCCCATATCTGAAGAGCATTAACTTTAGTGCACTGCAAGACACTTCCCACAGTAGTTTTGGAGGGCTGATAAAAAAACAACAACCATATGATCAGGACTTCCGGTTTGAGCTTCTTCGGTGACAGACCGAAACCTCGTCTCTCCGAGGCTTCGATCCGTGCTCACCGCTGGAGCGCCCCGAGCTGGCTGGTTTTGGGGCTAAGCCACCCCGTAGAGGTGGTGAAGAGGGGGGAGACTGCCTGCAGGGTTGAGGAGAGCCACATCTCTCCTCCCCAGCTGGCCATTGCTCCCTTTCCCAAAGGCGGTTGTAGCGGTGGTCAGAAATGGCCACCACAAAGAAGAACTCGACCAGAAAAGAATGTGCAGGAGGAAGATAAGAAGAGAAGGTTTTGGTTGACTGGGTCAAACAGCAAAAACAACAAATAAGGTACCCTGGAATTTAAACTTAACAACATTGTTCCCAAAGAAGATTTTGAAGCTGCAAAGGAGAGAGAGAAGGGAAAGGATTAGGTTTTTTTTTCTTCCCTTCCTTATACTGACAGCTAAGAGACTTAAGCAAGAAACTGAAAAAAAATCCACTTTGACATTAATAGGCATCTAAGCTGAAAATAAAAGTCAAGGGGATAATAAAGATTTCTGGACATTTAAAAGTTTTTAAAAGCTGGAAAGGAGAAAAAAAAAGAATAGAAGGGCAGGATCTGGAAAAATGGAGGAGACTGCCTGGAATTAAGGAATGGAACTGTAATTAAAAGGAACTTACAGTGAAATTTTAACAAGATTCCTCAAAGATACATTTTAATGGAAACTTGGTAACAAAATAATAGAACCCCGGGAAGAGAAAGTGGAAAAAAGAAGCAAATAGAAACAGCCTTATTTGGATTACTTGGTGATTTTTGGTTTTTGCATCTAGTTGACTAAAATTAACCGGGTGGTTGTTTAAAAGTTTTTAAAATGGTATCACTCTTAGAAGAACTGAAAACGGAACTTAAAAAATGGAAAGAAGACGCACAAGAAGGGAGAAGTTCTTTTGGCTTCGTGTTTCAATTCTTAGAAATGGAGATCTGGAACTATGAGAAGCAACAAGAAATGCTTGCAGAACAAGAAGATTGGGACAAAGAAGAAGCCATCTTTAATGATCAAATAATTTTAAGTGGGGGGAAAAAAGAAAAGGGTGGAAAGAGAGTGAAAGGTTTAAGATTAGAAAAAACAACCAAAAAGAAGAAGAACAATTTGAAAGATAAGTATAATATTAGAAAGCAACAGAAGAGGGGATTACAGATGAGAGAGTTAGAAGTAGAGGGACGAGGGGGTAAAAAGGGGAGGGAGAAGAAGAGGGGGAAGAAGGCAAGGAAAAGAAGTTGTAAAAGACAGAAACAAGAAATGGAGAAACGGAAAAGATATAAGGATTGTAACCATAAGTTTGTTTAGAGATAATGGGTGAAAAATTAATTGTAAAAGGGATTCTGCAAAGGTACATAAGATAGATTTGTTATATTACAAATAGAAATAACTTTAGAAAATATGATGATGGATCAAATATTTATTGTAATGCAGTGGGATGTTTGTTAATAAATAAACGAATTAAAATGATTGAGAGAATTAAAAGGGAACATTTTTAATTATTAGTAATGATTTATAAAAATATAAGTGAGAAATATGGGGAAAAAATAATTAACTATTGAAAGTTTATAAGTGTTCCCAAGGAAGTATGATATTTAATTGAAAAGAAATGTTAAAGATGTTAAGATTTTAATGCATATTAATGATAGAATTGAATTGGAATGGAATGTGTTTTATTTACATATATATATATATATATATATAATTTTTTCTTTTTAAGAATATAGTGTCTATTTTAAGAATGTACCAAGCAGAATTCGATTGGAAGTTATGTATTATATTGAATGCTATAATCTTAAAGCTATACACTGAAGCTTAAATAAGAGCTTGAATGGATAAAATTAAAGGATATAAAGGTGTCATACTCTAATTGGTAACTACAGGGGAAAATTTGCTTAATAAGAAAAGATAATGTGAAATTGTAACAGGACAGACAAAAGTATAAATATAATGATTTGAATTGAGATAATTAAAACAAAGTTGAGAAAATTAAAAGAGGGGAAAAACTATATAGAAAATATAAAATGGTAATAAGATATGGAATAGAATATAAACATGAGCATGAAATTGAGTTTTGTGTCTGTATGAAGAAGTGATAACCTGGGACCATGCTATTTTCAAAAAAGATGTTTTATTTGTATTTTGTTTTTGTGAAAACCCAAATAAAATTTTCAAAAAAACCCACACCATATGATCTGAGACTGTGCTCCTGTGGACAAGGGGTCATTGAAACTATAGCTTACATTCTCCTGTACTGCATCTTACATAAGGACCCACAGACTCAATTTATAACACTTCATCTAATAAAATATCCAAAAAATACTGATATTTTTTTACATGTGACTGCTGTTATCAGTATAGAGTAGTTTCTCTGAATTTGGCCAAATTTCGTTATGCTGTATGTAAAATTAGGCAAGCTTTAACTGCCCACTGTTATTCCATTGCCAATCACAATATATTATTTTGTCATTATTATTGTTGTTTTGTTGTTGTTATTATTATTATTTACTTTATTCATTAAACATGAAACTCAGTCAACTAAACATTCAAAAATGCATCACAAATACCATTGACTGGTGCTAATGGCTGATATGGGTTGCTGCCAGCATCCTAGGTATCAACCAAGTACCTTCTTAAGATGTACGATGTTTCAAGTAGCACAGTTTTTTTGCAGTTCTGCTGGTATTATTGCAGGAAGCTGCAATTTCTTGATGTATTTTATAAAATTCTTGGACATGGTACCAAGTGCCCCAATGACAATGGGTAACACTGTTACATGTTTCATCCATAATCACTTAGTTTCAATGGCCAGGTCATGTTATTTCATGATTTTTTCCAATTCTTTTTCTTCGACTCTGGCATCTCCTGGTGCCGCGATATCAATATATTGTATGTTCGCTTTGGTTTTTGACAACTGTGATATCTGGCATGTTGTGTTCCAAATGACGATCCTTCTGTATTCGAAAGTCCCGCAAGATCTTCACCTTCTCATTTTTGATAACTTTTTCCACTTTATGTTCCCATGACTTTTCAGATACAGGAAAGTCGTATTTTTTACATAATGACCCGTGGATTAATTTAGCAACTCGGTTGTGTCTAGCTTTGTTATCAGTTTGTGCAATTTTGCTGCACTCACATATTAAATGTGAAACAGTTTCAACTTTGTTGTTGCAAAGTTGGCAGTTTGGATTGTCAGTGGATTTTTTTTTAACAAATTTTATTCAGT